AAAGAGGGGTGGCATGAGGTCAATCTGCCGTGCAAGACCTCTTTAGAGTCTTGGAAGCAAGGAGGTTACCTTGAGGACTGAGGTGGGCCTGACCCAAGCCATGGGATTTCCAATTGCCTCCGATGCAAGTGAAAGTGGGACGTTGAGTGAGGAAGATTGAAGAAGGGTTGATGCATTTGAATTGTGGTGCCGGAGAAGAATATCGAAAATACCATGTACTGCTCAAAGGACAAGCAGATCTCTCCTGGAAGAAGTACAGCCCGAATGTTCCTTAGGACATGTTGTCAGGATACTTTGGACATACTTTGTCTCACATACTTTGGACATGTTGTCAGGAGAGACCAGTCTCTGGAGAAGGACATCATGCTTGGTAAAGCAGTGAAAAGGGGCAGGCCCTGGACAAGACGGATGGACACAGCGGCTGCAGCAATGGGCTCAGGCATAGGAACAATTAATTGTGAGACTGGCCCAGGACCAGGCAGTGCTTCGTTCTATTGTGTCTAAGGCTACTATGAGTCCAAACCAACGCCATGGCCCCTAGCGACCACGTCAACATGCCCAATGTGACAACGCATCCTTTGGTTTCTTGACTGCTGCTTCCAAGGTTGCTGAGCCACGTGAAATGAAATCCTTGATGACTCCCCTCTTGTCTCCATTTGCCGTGGTGTCGCCCATTGGTCCAGCTGTGGGGTGTTTTGGTTCCTTTAGGCCGAGGCAGTCCTTCTTGGAGGCTGCTCTTCCCTTGGCTTCCTCAGTGTACTGCACGACCTCGTCACCTTGAGGAAGCAGGGCCGTGTCGCGCGTGTGGCAGACTCTTAGTGAGTTCCTCCAATGCTGACATCCAGTGTAAGTTCTTCTTCTCATGGTCCAGAGTCTCACATTTGCTCAGCATGCAGATTCAATAGGAAACTCTAATCTGCATTTTCCTTGTTGGTTTGGTGGGGGGTGGGGTGGAGGGGTTGTTGGCAGGCATGCCTTTATTTAGAATCGTTTTCTCGGCATTTGCTTCACACATCACACAACTTAAGATCATTCAGTCATCACTACGATCCATTTCAAAGCACTTTCTCCTAGTACTGTACTCTTTGTGGCTAAGTCCTCATGCCCTGTAGCCTCCCCTGCCACGCCCCTTGGTAATTATTAATTCCGTTGCCATCTCCACAGATTGACCTATCTAGGATTGCGTATACAGAGGATCATACAAACACAGACAGTAAACAACAAAGCCCCATCCACAGGTGAGTTGATAAAACAGGAAAACCTCAATCAAAAAGAAAGCAGAAAACATTAAAAACAGAAACAGCCTTAAAGTGGTCAAGAGGGAGAGCATGGGATAGGCGTTACAGTTTAACCTGACCACATCTGCCATCGTCGACCTTCCGATGCGGTCTGTCTGGTGGCAAGGCTACTCACATCCTGGATTAGGTTCCGAAGGGATTCACCGTTGGCTTAATCCATGTGTGGACCTTGCAGATGGATTTTGAGCTTCCAATGTCCCACGGAGGCTCTCTTGGCGCTATTCAAATCACAGCGCGCAGTCTACGCACAGATTCTGAGTGAGCGCAATTAAGTGTGCTGGATTTTCCATTCTTCTCAGTGTTATCCATGATCTGTTATGTGTTGTCCATAAGACAGATGTACACATTCTCCTGGTAGTCTCTGCTTCAGCCAGCATCCTTCTGACGTCAGCAATGATACCCATCGTTCCATGTCCTCTTCCTGAGGGGGTGTGCTGGACTTAGAGGTGACATTTCAAATGGCCCTTGACTCATGAGTAGGAGTATATGTCATCGAAAATGGAAAGGACATTTATGGTCAGGATGTGACCAGACAGGGTTCTCTGGGGAACTGTGAAGAAGATGGTGTGATCCGGGGGAGGTAGAACAGAGTCAGTGGGAAGATGTCTGGAAGGGACCTTGGGGGCGACACTCAGGAGTGTGGGCTCCGCTTTCAGGCTAATGGGAGCCACCGCAGCCTTTGAAGCTGGAGGAAGGCATGTGGAGCTTTGCGTCTGCACAGCTCACGGAAGTGCTGTGCTTGGAGAGGGGCGGAGGAGCCCACCCTTCAGCCTGAAAGGGGGGTGGTGAGGTTGGATAGGGGCGATGGGGGTGGAGAGGAGGGACAGAACTACAACCAGTAGGGCATGGTGATCGATTGAGGAGGGGGTTTGAAGAGGAGCTCAGTGGAAGCTGGGAAGGCAGAACGGGAGTGTATGGAAATTCTTTGCAAATGGTTGATGGGAATGCCACCTGTCCAAATGATGCCACGTGACAAGCCCCACGGAGGCTGGTGGTGGGATGGAGCGGTGCGTGGGCCTGTCCCTCCGACGAGAAATCAATGGTAAAAGTCACCAGTGGTCCCAGCTGGGTCTCAATTCCTGGGGAGGCTTTGAGGCAGATCATGCCTGTCTACATGCTCCCTAGCTTTATAAGCTATCTCTGAGATAAATAGGGTTGTTAAGTGAAACTGTCTCCCCCATTGCCAGCTGGGGAAACTGAGTCACCGTGGCATCCAAGGACATGACCAAGACTCCACCTTGATCAGACCCTGGGGAACACGGGCCTCCCAGGGCCCTCGCTGGAGGGGACTTTTCAAGTCCCTGGGGGCTCAGGGAGGAGGAGATTGGGGGTCCCCACTGAGTGGCTCCGAGCCACAGAGAATTTCCTCCAGGTTGGAGGAAACACCACTTCTTCTTTCACATTTGAATGTCAGAGAATCTGGGCTCACCGGTGACTAACACTGGCCGAACTTGTGGGTGTCGCCAGGCTTATATAGCAGACCTGTCTGACCCCCAGTGACAGCAGACATCTGGACCCATTGGACAGGAGCATGGCCAACCTGCAGACTCTACTCTGGACCGTCCTCGTCCTCCTCACAGTGGTGCTTCAGTGCACCGAAGCAGGTGAGGCCGGGGGGCAGGGGACTCCCTGCAGAGGCCAGAGTTGGCCACGGGCCACGGACTGCCTTCCTCACGTGGCCAACAGAGTCTTGGGCTAATCGCAGCGCCTCTTGGGGCCTTGGTTTACCCATCCATTAAGTGGGTGTTCTGGAAGGCCTGGGGTCTAGGGTTTGTCTCAGCCGAGTTGGAGGCTGGTGGTGGGTGTGGCCTGGGGAAGCCCTGCCTCAGAGATCCTGAGCATAGGATCATGGTGCTAGCAAGAAGGGGCCACTAAGAGGAGCCGGCTGGAATGGGGCAAGGCCAGCACTGGGGCAGGGGACCCTTCCTGGGAGAGCTGGCCCTGCTGTAGAAGTGGTGCTCCAGAAGCTGCCACCATCAGGGGTTCCTGGCTTCTCTTTACCCCCAGTGAAGTCGAGTGGCCGGCGTGGGCAGTCAGGCAAACGTGAACAAGGGTTGTTCTGTTTCCTAGGTTTCCTGAGAGGTTTGTCTTGCGCGAAAGAGCTCGTGAAGTGGGGAGGTTAAACGACTTGTCCAAGGTGGCCGGGTGGCTCAAACCCAGGTCTTTGCGACCCCTCTCTGCCTGAGCCCTGCTCCTGACTCTGGCACGCTCTTCGGACCGTAGATGGGTCCTTTGCCTCTTTGGACAGCCACCCTACCCATTGCATAGTGGAGAGAGCGCAAAACTTCAGCCCACCAACAGGCCCCCTGGAGACTGTGCTGAGATGGTCCCCTGACTCAGCAGGGCTGGGACTGGGGGCAAAGTCCCAGGCACTGCTGATGCTGTCGGCCCCTTTGACTAATAGCAAGCGTCTAAGGCTCCCTGAGCCCCCGAGTTCCATCGGCGTCCCATCTAGGAGCTCCGGTATCGTTAATGTCAGTCGGCCGGAGTCTCTGCCCCTTGAACTGAACGTCCCAGGGTGTAGACCAGGGTCCCACAGGGGCTTCTCTGAAGGCCTGGGGGTGGACCCTTGGAGGTGTCAGACTTTTCTGGACACCTTTTCACATGAAAACAGAAAGCCACATGTCTTCCCTGGAGCCCCGAGGGTTGGGGATGGCGACCTTGGGGGACTCAGCTTGTGACGAGTCAGCCTCCCCTCCCCGCAGGTCCCTATGGCGCCAACGTGGAAGACAGCGTCTGCTGCCGGGACTATATCCGCTACCCCCTGCCCCACCGGGTGGTGAAAGAGTTCTTCTGGACCTCGAACTCCTGCCGGAAGCCTGGCGTGGTGTGAGTGGGGAGCTGGGGAGGGCTGGCAGCTGGGGCCCAAGATGCCCAGGTGTAGAAGGATGGGGTAGGCCCAGGATGGGGATTGCTGCCCGGCGAGGGGAGGACTCAGCCCCGGCTGGGCATCTCAAGAACAGAAGTCATGTGGCCATTCGCTAAAGATGATCCCGTCCCTGCTCTGGGCCAGGCAGTGGGGATGCAGAGCTGAGGGGAACGTGCTGCAGAGCCAGGGCCGGCCACGGGCAGTGCCCAGAGCTCCATCGAGGTGCTTCCCGCAGCAGCACGCTGGGAGAAGCTGGAAGCAACCTTTCCTGCCCAGAAGGAGAGTATTAAGGGATGACTTCTAGGTGCCAGGCACCCTGCTGAGACTGGGGAGGGGGGAGCCTGCTTCCTCCTCCCAACAGCCTTGGTGGGGGGATGTGAACACTCCCCTCTGGGAAGGAAGAAACAAGGGCTTGCCCGGGCTGCACACAGGTCCTCCTGAGCCTCTCGTCTTCTCCTGTGCTCTCCTCTCCTTGGCCTCTTTCTCCCTGCTCTGGGGCCAGCCTTCGCCGGCTCCTGCCCCCAAAGGGCCCAGTCCATTTCAGTCACAGCCAGAGAGAGAGGGAGCCAGCTACCCAAGAAATCAGACCTTGGGGTGGGGACTCCATCCTCTCCTTCTCCTCTTCCTCCTGCTCCTCCACCCTGCCAATGCTTCTCTCGGAGGCGGGTCTGCAGGTGGGACACCCATCGGACTGAGTACAACCTTGCTGCCTTCTTGGTCCTCTCTCCTTGTGGGTGGTCTCTCGGGAGGAGAGCCAGGAGGCCCCAGGCCCTTTGGACGAGCACTTGAGAGGAGGCTAGGGAGGCCAGCCTTTTT